GAGTTTTACTCTAAGATTGAAGTTATAATAATTAAAACAAATATAATTATTTATAATAATTTGAAAGACTTATTAGTATCAATATTATTAAATTGATTAATTAAATTTGTGATATTATTATTTTAGCTTCATTTAAAATTGCGTTTTAAAAAATTCATGTAAAAATATTATTAAGCACTAAGATTCAGCTTGTCGTTTGTTTGTATTATTCACATATCGGTCTAGTTTCACTTATTGTTGATTGTACTAATAATTAAATTATCCAAATTTATTGGATTCAAATACATAAACACACACATAATATTAGCTAAAAATATTTTTTTGTGTTCCAATATTATCTTTATTTAGATCGGATTGTTTCTATATCATTGTATAGCTATACTTTGCATTCCTTACTCCACAGTTACATTACTGCAGTTCTTACTGCGCTCCTGATACTCTTATACACCATCTATATGAATTTTTACGTAAAAAAGAAAGAAAAGGAGTTTGTGTAATAGTAATTTACCTCTACAATAACTTATCTATTGACGTTACACTATTATTAAGTCACTTCGCTAATACATCGTATATCATAAAAAAATCCTTTTCGCAATCTGAAATATAATCATAATGGAAATCCCTTTATTGTGCGGTGCGAAAATATCGACGTCAGAATGAGTAATCTGGTGTCACTTCCTTGTATATTTTAACGACAAATTTCCTACTTGAATCATAATTGTGATATAAGGCATTTTCACTTTTAATGGATTTCTTTATTTTTTTGGAAATTTTTACCCTATTTATATAGAGATTTCCTGTTTATGGATTTTACAGTTGCAATAAATGTGAACAGCAAATCAATAGATGTATTATATGCCATCAATGGCTTAACAAAATTAGAGATGCATTTACGCATACATTACCTATAGTATTATTATTTAGATAATTGACCAAAACATTGTTCTTTATCAAACGACTAGATATATTATTAATATTATTCGCGTGCACGTTACGTACCAATATTCCCGAGTATCTAATATTTACGACTAGATATATTGAAATTTGATTAAATTTGATTTCATCCTGTGTATAATATAGATATTTCAATATAGAAATCAAATCCCTTGACATTTAATAATATATAAATTCGAAGAGATTTAAAATTAGCAATTTAATCATATAATGAAAATCGATTTCGTCATATAATGTACAATAAATATATACGTTTCGGTCGTATATATATTTATATAATATAATAAATAAATATAATAAATAAATTGAAAAATTGTTGCAATAAATTAACAATTTTTTTCAACTTTTTTACTATGCTGATGAAGGCTAGAAATAGCCGAAACGTATGTTTTTTTTATATGATGAAATAATTTTTTTATGACTTCATTTTAAATAATTTTTTTATTATATGATTAATATCAAATTTTTAATTAATATTAAATTTTTTAAAATTTATTAACTATATTTTACATTAAATATAGTTTATTGTATAATAATATTACCTCATGAATTACAAAGCCGATTCCTAATAGGTTCTTATCGCCTCATTTAAATTAAACATATGGAATCCAAATTATTCTTCAAATTGCTACATTATCATATTAATATATTATCTTTCTCAGGAATTTTAAATTTATACTAAATAAAAAATAATCCAATTTATAAATAAATGGACAAAACATTGTAGTTTTAAAAAATATATTAGGTGTTGGAATTAATTCGTAGCGTTTTTTAATGAAAGAATGTTATTTATTTCACATGAGCATTAAAAAATACATTAATGAAAGTACTTCCCATCACTTGTAAAACGCTACGAATTAATTCCAACACCTAATAAATAAATGAATGAATAAATGAATAATTAAATGAAAGATGAATGTATGTTAATTTAACGTATAATATAAGTATTAATTTTACTGAAGAAATATGTTTCTACAATTTATTTCTAAATTTGTTAAAGAATTACATTTTTTGTTAATTTTTACATAATATTATTTTCTAACATATTCATTTTGTGTTGAATTAACACAAAAATTTTGAACCGTCTAAAACACAAGAAATGTATAAAATTTAAAACAAATTTTCCAACTGTGTAAGATTGCAGCTTTTTTATTTCATTTTACACATTAATCTTAATTTTACATATAGCGAGAACTTAGTTGCGCACCTAATATATATATATACATATCGATAAATCGCAGATAAATTTAAATAAATATCTGAGACTCAGATCATTCTTTTATTTTTTTTCGCTGTTTTTTTCTTTACTCTAAAGGATAAAAATTTTTTATAGTACGTGCAATTGAAAAACAATCTCTATTGCGCATGCGCATTAAATCGCGTAATAGTAACGTGACGTGCGAGTTCCTCGTGGTGGTCAGATATCAGAACATTCATTGAGTGTCGGACGAGCAAGCCAGTGTATCGCAGTGTTGTTGAAACATTTTCTTCCTTTCACACACGAGATGCACAATCGTTCGCTTTCCCAAAGACAATGCACCGTCGCGAAGAAAAATCCTCCTATCGTGAATGAGAACAGAAGAGGTGAAAAAGTTATCGAGAAACAGAAGACGTCATGTAGATCAATCAAATGGTCTTGTCGCAATCACTTGATTGTTGGTACGTAGAAAAAACTGTGGTATCTGATGTGTATACATAGAAGATAAAATACTCATACTACGCGTGTTATTTGATTATAATTTTTCGATCGTTAATTATAATTGTTTAAGATTTTGAAATGCACTGACAATATTAAAAATCTATAGTGTCATCTATGTATATCTATATGTAACGTGGACTACAGACTTTCAATATAGTCGGTATATCGAAAAATGTCAATTTTGTATATAACTTGGAAAGACGTGGAGTTCTTCAAATAAGAGTTTGGACATCGTTCAGACATTTTTGATTGGTCCACTATTTTTAAGTTAGTTTTCTGCTTAAAATGGAATGAGATAGATATATATATCTTGGCAAATCGCTTGGAATGAAGAAATTCTGTTTTGAATGAAAAATTTCTCATAAATTCATACATATTAACATACATTAAAAGCTGCTTTATCGCAGCTGTATAAATTAAAGTATCTATATAAATTAAAGTATCTAAATGCAGATATAATTAACTTTGATAATGAAATAATATAAGTATATTTTGTTGATAATATCGTTATTAGGTACGTAATGAGTATTTAAAATATTTATGTATTATTATAGTATATACATAAAAATTTATATAAATACAAAATCTTATGCTTGACTTTGATAATTTCATATGTAGAATAATGTCTTTTAGTATGTACTATTTTAGTAATGCAAGTGATCAAATTCGGTATATTTTATTTTATATCTCGCATACGTTAGAATTAGATAGATACTTCATTCTACTTTAATTAAGCGTTTCGTTCATCATATTCAAGATGATGTTGAAATTATTTTTTTATTTAAAAAACTTTAGAAAACAAAATTTACATCGTATCAATGTCGAAATGCAGAAAAATGTTTTTGATCTACGGAAATTCGAAACGGCGTGATATTGACCGCAATTATTTTACCACTCCAGGAATTTTGTTTACTTTACACAATTAGGCAACTCATTCCATATCTTACAAGATAGATTGATTTATGAAGAACCGCATTTATGTTGTTTCATTAGCGAGTTTGAGTTATTTGATCAAAACACAATCATTATACAAATAAGACAAGTAACAGTCATTATAAAAATATAAACATGCACTGAAATGTTTCATTACAAATGATTAATTTTTAAACTTTAAGAGTGTTAAAAAGACGCGATAAATTTCAAATTTCTTTTTTTCGTAATTGTTAACGTAATTTGATTTCTTCATAATTTTTCTTCGTAATTGTCTTTACCAATTTGCGCTTAAAATTGCGTAAGGAAATCTTTTGATAATGCATATTTAATCGCAATTTTTTAAACATGTAGACTTTGGATATATTTATGATAATTTTATTATAATATATTGTAATCACACACATACACACATTTGATATTCACATAACATGTATAAGTTATTAATATTCTATTCGTGATTAGATTAAATTGCAAATTAATTTTTATATAGAAATAATAGTTTCAGTTATTATATATATTTTATTATAGGACATTCAAATTGATTGCTGGAATATATAAATTTTTTGTAATATTGCTTGAATTTTCCTTGAATATAATTATGGTCCAACAAAATTCAGATCTATAGCTAATTAAAAGAATCCTAAAGCGAAGCTCGAACTTCGACGAAAGTCACCAGAGGTCGCGCCGCACATCGACATGTTTTTATATACTACCACATCAATATCTTACGCAACCTATGATACACGCAGTCGAACATTCGTATCAATTTTTTACATTCGTATAACAAATTCGTCGCGATGAAGCGTCTAAAGCGTCTAACACATAACGCTTAGTGCATAAGCGAATCAACTAATCAGAATCCTTCCTTTTTTCCCATTCCATTGAAAAGAAGAATTTTGATTGGTTGATTCTCTTATGCATTATGTATTATGTATTATGCAAGAGTCTGTGCTACGTCTAATTCTAAGAACTCGACGTTGTTTGTCGTGTAAACTACGTGTTTGGGAACCACTATTTCATACGTACAGGTTGCAAAGCATTCATTTCAAGCAAATGTTATCATGATTTGACAACTGAGACGTCATGTTTCACTAAGAAATGGTAAAATATATATCAATTTTGAAATTTTTGATCGTTCTAGGCATAGACTCCACTTCCCAGGCACGTATTAATGCATATACTTTAATCCTGGAAAAGGATTTTCGAATCGGTGAAAGAGAAAGAAAGTATTTGTTATACAAAAATTACATTTTTTAATCGGTAAAACAGGAGGCTTTATTTCAGCAAAATTTCGTTCCTTCCGTATAAGTATTTTTGAAAATATTGTATTGCGAAATTGTTTATTAATCTTCGTGAGAAGATCAATGAATTATTGTCTATCTATTTTAATTTGTGATTATTTATTGCATTTTAGTGATCACACTCTTGGCGCTCTTGGAATTCCTCGTGCAACCGTACCAGCAGATCGGTTTCTTTTGCAATGACCCGAAGATCTCGTTCAAATTCACGGGCGACACAATCTCTGCAGGTGTAATCATAAGCTTCAGTGTAGCCGTGCCTTTACTAGTGGTAAATACTTCTATTTCACATATTTTTGATTCTTCTAATCTTACACTAAATTTATGAAAAAAATGGTTATTAAAGCTTCATATTATACGAAAGATATTTTGAGTTGAACGTATTTTATTACAATATTAACTTAAATCAGATGTTAACTTATTTATATTTTTTTTATTATAGTCAGAAATACAGTACATCAATCTCTACAAGATCAACGACTGTATACAGGATATTCCTTATTATTCTAAAAGATTTTAAAAGATGTTTTCTCATATTAATTCCAGACGAAAATTTTATATGACCGAAATGACCTACAATTAGTTTCAAAGATACAAAATGAAAACTGAAGAAAAAAATTTCGAATATCATTCGAGCTATTTTGATGAAGTGTTAAACATACACAAAGTTTCATCAAAGTAATTTTGGAAAAAAAAATAATCTTTTAAATTTTTTGAAAAACGGATTTTTTTTCAATTTTGATACTTTATATCTTTGATAAACCGTTTTGGACATATATAATCAATATAAAGTTTCTGTCTTGAGTTAAAATGTGAGGAATTGTCACTTCAAATTTTTGAGAGTCATCCTATATATAGTCAGCAACTGATCAGCAAAAAGATTGCAATACTTCTTTTAATGGCTTTCGGAATGCAGCTTGCTCACCGAGCGATTAGTTCTTATTCATGGATCCACAAACATAAGAATCGCTCGATGAATAAATTTCATTGCGAAATAAAAAAAAAATAAAATTGTTGCAACCTTTCTGTGACTGGCTGTACATATGTAATTCTTTTTTTTTTTGAGATATTAAAGTGAGTAACGCTCATAAATTTTGAATTTATTTCTTGTTTGAAACTGAAAAATTTGATGCGACAATCCAGTAAAATCATAACATGTAAGGTGAGATATTATAATAATAAGAAAAAAGAACGAGGGATATCAATACATTTTGACGATCTCTTCGAGTGGCAGTGTGAAAAAAAATTTACTTCAACATGTGAAGAAAAGAAGATTCATTAATCTTTTTTTTCTCGATTCGGCTTTATTGAAATGAGAGCAGCAGGAAGCGTCGAGAGTCACATGTCGTAAAGATCCTTTTTGGTCGATTTCAGATATGGATCGCGGAATACCTCTACTATTCTGCCGACAGTTACGAGAGCGCATCGTATTACGGCACCCGGAGTAAACTAATCTGGCGCTGGTACGGACATTACACTGCGGGGATTTTAACGCTTACACTCCTTTGCGAAACTATGAAATTCATGATCGGTGAGCCGCGGCCACACTTTCTCGACACGTGCAAACCGCGCGAGGCGGCCAACTGCACCAATGAGTAAGCACCGACCTCTTCTTTTTTTGTCCCGGTTGGCTTACTACTTAGGCGCAAACCGGTCGACTTTTATGTCGTCGACATGTAGGTAGCCCGGTAAGCGAATGACGTATTCGTGGGTTTGTATACTATATGGATTCCGGTAAAGAAACGAAGGGAGATACGCATGCCAAGCACCTACGTATAATTGCGTAGGTTCTCAGCAATGCTGAGAGATAAAACACAAAGAACGGACTTGTTATTTATGTTCTTATCGCAAGATGAATCGTTATGCACTTTTTTACATCCTTCCTTTATATCAGAATTTTATGTAAAAAAAGAGTTGTTAACTGTAGGAGATATATTTATCAATTTATCGCGAGGAAACATAAAGCTACGTACGGTCGGTTATATAGAGTTCTATAATACGTTCTACTTTGTTGATACCTGGTCTTGTATCCTCGCGGTAAAATAAAATATTCATTTGTCCATATTATTATTTAAGTAAAATCATAACGATAACAACTATATTGGAATTTTGCTTAGAATATTTCAAAATATTTGCTTTAAATTTTATCAATCTGTGTCTAATGTGACTAGAAAATAACAAAAGCAGTGACGTTCTCGTATTTTCTTTGTAGATACATCATTTCTTACACGTGCACGAATACCGAGGTTTCCGCCTGGTCCATCAACGATTCCAACAAATCCTTTCCCTCCGGTCATGCCGCTCTCTCCGTCTACACGAGCATCTTCTTGGTGGTAAGAAAATTCTCTTTTACAACATAAAAACTTGACAAACTATTTTTTATAATATAAAATTGGGAAAGAAAATAGAACATCCCACCAGTTTATCTGTAAAGTTCAGCAGCTTGTTGGCAATATAGAGAACTGCGATATCAGCATCGAGTACTTCCGGTCTAATATCGATAGTCAGTATCTAAGCGACGGGAAAGAAATTCGCAAAAAAAATCTACCGGCGGCATATCGATTTTCACGGACCCACGAGACAGATAGATAAATATGAGAAAGTCGCGAAATAAATTCTCGAAAATACATAACTCATTTCAAAATAAGAAAAAAAAACCGGAGAATTTTTGTCAAAGTATATTACGCATTTGTTCCTCTCGCGTTCTTTTCTTGCCATCGGATAAAAATATTGTCAAAATAATTAGAAAATAGGAATTATCGTGAAAGTACATAATATGAGAGTTCCGTTTGTTCGTTTTGTAAAAACGATAAAAACGTGTTCGTCTTTTGTCGCATCGTACACAGTGGTACCTACAGAACCGTATGCCGAATCGGATGTTGTTTCTGAAACCATGGCTGCAGTGCCTGGCGAGCATGTGGGCCGTTACGTGCTCGATAACCAGAGTGGGCGACAACCGGCACCATTGGTGGGACGTTCTCATCGGCGACGTCCTCGGGCTTCTATTCGGCCTGTTCGTCGTAATATTATCGTGCCGGCACTTCTGTCTCGAGCGTACCGCCGCCAATGCCTCCAACGCTGCGACGTACGCCCTTAACGAGTCTCTGGAGAACGGCCAGATCGGAGGCCAGATCTGCTACAACAAGCAGCGCAAGCATAACGTGCTGCTCAATCCTAACGTCGACATCTCGGAGATCCGAGAAATGAAGGACATCGGACGAATCCTGGAGTAAATAAACGCATTCGTATGACGAGGGGATGATTTCAAGGGTGGAGATGAGGACACAGGGAAACACATAGAATCGCGATGATTGAATCATTCGTTTCGGAAAAAAATCGAACCACTCGTTCGTTCTAAAAATAACGATAGAATATTTTCGTTGTACCTGATCTGTTGTTAAGTAATAATAATGTAAACTCTTTTTTTGGTATATAATAATTGTAACATGTAAAGAAATAGAAATGTAAAGTAATAGAAGGATGCACACTAACGGGTGCAGTATCAATAATGATTCCACTTTTAAATCTTCTGTGACAGATATTAGAATTCAAATAGATTATTCGATTTTATCTTTACATACACATGAAGATAAAACCTAAAACGAAATAGGAATATTAAGAAAAAAACACAATAATAATATTAGTAATACCAGTAATATTAATATAAAAATAACTATTAGTTTATTAGACAATGATAATAGAGTAACACTTACAATTAGAATTAACCTAATGCTGTACATATACATATATAAAATATGAACATATACGTATATATGCGTACGTATCTCTGAGTAAATATATTCTGTACAGAAGAAGTAGATGGGTAAGGAAAATAAGTAATAATAGAGGTGAACATAGATATAAAGTAAGGAAGAACACGAAATGATAATGAAGTAGATGTATATCAACTGAAATGAGAAATGATACATTGAGAAACAGCTGATTTAAAGAGAGAGGAGGACAACCAAAAGAGGATAACGAATTAAAATATTTTACTGCTGTATAAGTAAACGCGCTAGGAAGCGCGTTCGTGTAACAAACAGCTGCGTAGCGGCTATTAATAAAGGAGCGATAACAGAAGTTAATGACAGAGCGGCTTCGTACAATTGTATCGATGCACATGCTCTTCGCGATTTCCTAAGAAATAAGGATTTTGGAAAAACGTCCTTTTTTTCCGAGACGATTGATTCGATCAGGAAATGTGTTTAACGTACGAGTTTAGTGGTGGTTTCCCTCGTAGCAAAGATCGAGTGCCGGAACGCACAAGATTTATTTTCGTATTAACAAATAAATTGCTCAGTACGAAATAGTCGAACGTTTTACATTCTACTGGGAGGGGAGGGAGAAGAAATTGCACATATCGGAGTCACGGACGCATCGATCGGCGAGGTTCTCGCAGGTGCGAAGTGACGGCTTAGGGTTGGAACGGTCGCGCTAGGTATGTAAATGCGAGTGATCTACACGGAACTGCCTACCGACTTGCACCGATCCAATACATAATGTAAGAAACTCGCGGGGCTTACAAATATCGAGTCAATTAATCGTACAGGATGATAATCCAACGAGGGAAATGATTTAGTAATCGTTCACCCGAGATATTTAATCTCGTCCCAGATGCCGATTTCTCTCGACGTCTCAAATGCTCCGCTCGGTCTTATCAGTAATTTACACTTACGCTCCCGCAGTTGATTACATTATTTAAGAAACGTAGCTTTATCCTTCTGATGCACTTTGAACGCAGACAGAAACGCGAGGGCAAATCGCGTGTGCAATTTTTCATGCACATGTACAATATTGTAACGTAGCGAAAATCCAGTTGCTTTAATTTATATTATGTAACACAATAATTTTTGAACGAAAATGAAAATTGAATAGAGTTAAAAGATTGAATCAGTCGAAATAATTTGGGGAATAAGTCTCGTTTAGACGAAAATTTTAATTTATTCACATAATATTATATAATTTAATGATATTTTCCTAGATATAATTTATTCACATTCCATACGCAGCATATATCTTTACTGTGAGAAAATATTCTTCAATCTTTTTTTTTTTTTTTTTTATTTACACGCGAACGAGAGGGATGGGAAGAATAACACAGTGAGATTTATACATTATTATTACAAAAGAAGTGCCTTTACGGATGTGCTCGGAAACGAGCGTGTATTATAAACAGTAGTATTATTTACAGTCATGTAATATAATTCTATCGCCTCGTGTTTTATCATCTTCAGATGAACCTAGAGGTGAACGTTAATACGTCGCTAATGGAGCGATTTTTTTTTTTAAATCGCGCACAGGACGACTTTCACATCGGCCTTTTAATCGATGAAAAGCCATTAGATAAAAGTAATACGTGTCCTTCGGTAAATTTCATGTACTCGAATACTTTCGCAATGTTATTGAACAGCGTTTGTACGTAAGGAACGCAGTGTTTGTCCGTCCAAGTTATGGACCGTAAATACACAAGTAGTGTTTATATATTACAATGCAGTCACGCGGTAGATGATAGTAAGTTATGCGAAATTAAAGTGATTACATCGTACACGAATGCGCTTCAACGCTGCCGATTGTTATTCTTACGGTATATGCCTCTATATCTATCTACCTAAGAAGCATGTTATTTAATGCACCTGCTGATTTCTGTAATCGCGAACGCGGGATTTATACATATATCGTAGGAGGTATCGTATATTTTTAAAAACGCGAACGCAATGTCAGTCGTAAGAGACTTCGGAATTGTAATTACTATATGTAATTTAATTAGCCTATATGTCGACCTTCCGTATGATGTGTACACATGATGTGTACGTTATAAATGTATGCTATATATAAAAATTCTTTTATTCAAGATTATTTTTTAAAGAAGCCAGTCATAAGACGGTATCATTTTTATGATACCGCAATCATGAAATATTAAATTATATAAAACGTACATGTATATTTCTCCATTATGTTAACTAATCCAAGAATTTTAAAATGAAAATATTTTATACACAAAAAGATCATATACAAGTATTAATTAATACATTTTTAACAATTTTTAGGTAAATTTATTATTTTTTAAATTAATTTACTATTTTATATACAGATTAATAATTTATTCCTCCCTATCATAGAATATTTGATAATTTATCTTTTGTATCTTTATCTCAATCTCTCTGAGATTTTTATATAAATCATATACGTAATTTTAAATTTAAATAAATTTAAATTTAATGATATAAATTGTTTGTGGAAAGAGCACGTTTTTTTTTATCACGTCATGCAACTCACGAAATGTATGATCTGGTTCGGAGAATTTCTGTTGTCTTAATATCTTTTACAAAATAGAATGTAACTTCGTTTGTCATAAGAAAATAAAATGCAAGGATTAAAAATAAAATGTTTCTTTTTCCCTCCCGATCGAATTCTCCCTTTCTTCAACCTTACACCGAATGAATGATCGGGCTCCCTTTGAAATCCGGCGTTTCCTCCCTCGCCCTCATTTTCCACCCTCGTGTCGTCAAATAAATCTTACAGGACAGCGATCCTTCGACATCGAGAGAGAGAGAGCGGCTGCTGGACTACCGCAACCCGATGCTAAATCGAGCCGTGCGAAAGCGCTCTTATTCAGCAGCTTGCATCGCTCTTGAATTTTTAATCGCCTAACGAATGCACTAACCTGGATATCACAAAAGCTTCGATCTTAATTTTAACGACGGATGCAGTGACTTCCCCTCGGACGGGAGTCTGTCGTGATTTCGGAATGGTGGACATAAATTTTAATAAACGAGCATAATTAAATTTCACGAGGAATTAGAGCTCGCTCAAAATTGTACAATACAGAAAGTTTTCATTGTCGGATTGTTGATTGCGGAAAATTTTAATTCATCAAAATTTTTTTTAACTTTCAATGCTAAATAATTTTACAATCGGAGAATTGCGATGAAGGGAAGTTAAATACTAAATATTAAATTGAAATTAAACACGATGTTAAGTAGCATTCTGCATATTTTAGGAAAGGTTTGTTCTACAAACGAAATCGGCACGATCAAATATGAATTGTAAACATGTTTTGTTTTAAATAATTTTATCTTTAAAGTTTGTTGTGTATACCAATATAGAGATACATTGATTGGGACAGACAAGAAACGAGTAAACATACAATTGGTGAGGCAGTGCCGCTGCTTCAACTAGAAAATGAAACGCAGAAACGGCAAATGATAATATCAAGCACATCAATACACAAAAAAATTAATGAATAATTATAACATACATAAATAATATTTAAAAATAATGTTTATGAACAATAATAATAAAATATCTGATTAGTAACAAGGCTCATAAATTTTATAAAACAAAGAAAAAAGAGGGCCAAAAATCAATAATAATAAATATAACAATAATAAAATCATAAACTTCTTTTTATTATAATAAGCTATCTAGAAAATCTTTGTAAGATCTGGCTCTCAAGCAAAACCCAGAATCGATTTTATATATAAATTAATAGTAATTCTAAATTAGATCTGTATTACAGAAAAATATCTTTTCATCGTTTGTTTATTTCATAGATAAGAGGAGAAAGAGCGACTCATCCGTATTACAGTCTAAGACGAGTTTAAATCCACCAACGCTGAATGCGATCGCGAAACTACGTCGGTGACATAGATCGCGAAAAACCTGTGGCGTTTTCTGCAAAACGGTCCGCACGCGTTTCAAGATATCCCATGAATGCCATCCCCTCCTCTTTCACCCGCCCGCACCTTTTTTTTTCTCGCGCGCGGACGGACGAACGGACGGATGTGCGACCGAAACAACGAGCGATTTAATTTGGTAGCCACGCGTATGTAACGCGACGGACGAACGGACGGGCCGAAGCATTTTTTCGTCGGGACAGAGTTTCTCTCTCTCTCTCTCTCTCCTTTTTTTATTCTCGTCCTTTCCCTCCTCTCTTTCTCTCTCATTCTCCTTTTTTTTGCTTCCCCGACGAAACAATTGGTTGGGGGTGGAGTGCACGCGGAAGGGCGCACGGGTATGGGGTGCTCGAGGCGGGCGCGTGTGAGGGTAGCGGATGAGGAGGTGGAGGTGGAGGAGGAAGAGGAGGAGGAGGAGGAGGAGGAGGACCAGAGATGCGGGAGGGCGGGATGGAGTGAGATTGGCGCGGTACAGAGAGCGCGCGCGAAGGTTGGATGAGAGAGATGAAGTGGCAGATTAACGTCAACCGACGTAGGCCATTCATAACTGGGCTCCACGGCCGCGGCCGTGTGTATGGCAGCGCGCGAACGAGGCGGGCGAGTACGTGCAAACGCATATGTGTGTGTGTGTGTGTGTGTGTGTACGTGTGTATGTGCGCGCGCGGTTGCTGTGTACGAGCCGTGGGGCCGAGCACACGACGATTTATAGAATTGG